ACTGCTCCTTCCTCCGCCACGGGCCGGCTGTACCCAACAGCCGCTCGTATTATTTATGCCGAGTAAGTTTACTAACGAATAAAACCATGGAGAAGCAGCTTGGATTGGTTTGTTTTGGGTTGCGTTGAGAAAGGTGGATCAAAGGTGTGGGGCAATATCATTTTTTGGGTGCCCAGGAGAGCTTACCTGGGTAACACTTTCTCATCACACCTTGTTTGTCTCTCCCTTTTTTTGGGTGCCAAGTTCAGTTATCTGGGTGTTCAGCAGCACTTTGCTCATCACACCTTGTGTTCCCTCTGCCTTTTTTTGGGTGCCCATCACAGCTTACCCAGGTGTTCAGCAGCACTTTGCTCATCACACCTTGTGTTCTCTCTCCCTTTTTTTGGGTGCCCAGTTCAGTTATCTGGGTGCTCAGCAGCACTTTGCCCATCACACCTTGTGCTCCCTCTCCCTTTTTTTGGGTGCCCAGTTCAGTTATCCGGGTGTTCAGCAGCACTTTGCCCATCACACATTGTGCTCTCTCTCCCTTTTTTTGGGTGCCCAGGAGAGCTTATCTGGGTGTTCAGTAACACTTTCTCATCACACCTTGTGTTCTCTCTCCTTTTTTTGGGTGCCCAGCACAGCTTATCTGGGTGCTCAGCAGCACTTTGCTCATCACACCTTGTGCTCTCTCTCCCTTCAACGCTGCCACAGGATTTCAGAGCATTTCACAAGCAACGGGAGAGTTTCTCCTGTGGAGATTAAACTGGTAAAACAGCTCCATGCCAACTGAAACCCATCTGAAGTGTGGGTATTTGATAACAGCTGGCTGGAAGACAACTGTATCTTAAATCTCTCAAGTGATTCATGTAATGGAGAAACATCCAGGGGCTGCAGCCAGTTCAGAGCAGCTTCAGGTGAAAACTGCAGGGCTGCAGTAAACACACATCTACCCAAAGAGAAGGAAAACATCTTGCTCTGATGATGCAAATCACATCCCTTTGAAACTCTGCTGTTAGTGCCCTTCAAACACTGAGCAGGATCTGATGTCTACAGCAATAATCTGATTTATGCCAGCATTTCTCAGTGATACAAACCACTACTAAAGTCCTTTTCAGGCGTCTTCATCTGCCTAGCACCTCTCTTCAAAGAGGCAGAAAGGGATGTCTGGATGACTGGAACTGAATTTCTGAAATTCAGCTTCAAAAAGGACAGATCTGTCACACAAACCATCAGACTCAGTCATGGCCTGACCTATTTTCTGTGCTCCTTAGACCTGCTGAGACAAAAGCTCTGTTAGCAGGGATCACAGTACACCTCAGCTGAGCAGGGAGGTGAGAGAAGAAAATAAGCACTTCCATGGCTGTGGGTGAAAAAAAGAAAATAGGATCACTGTCAAACACCCCAAATCCCCCCTCTTTTCCAAAGTCTGCTGTTTCCTATTAGCTGCTCCTAATTTGCTCTCTTTTTTTTTTAATTGGGCTTGTCTGGCCAGGCACAACCTCTGCACACAAGAACAAACCCCAGACACACACAGAGGTTATAAACAGCACAGATTAAAATCAGGAAGAACATTTCCCACATGGAAATCTATGCCCCACTGGTTCCTGGGGGTTTCTGGAGCTTTTCCTGCTTGTTCTTTCTCCACCTGCAGGCCTGGAGTGCAGGAGCACTGGGCAGTTGGGTTCAGGGTGGTGGCCTGAAAATCAAGGAGGTTTTTGTTCAAATCCTAAAAGAATCACCACTGAAAGGAAATAAATGTAAAATAGTAAGGATTTAGCCAGGAAATGCAACTGAGGGAAATCTTTTTTACAGCGCAGGGGTTTTGTCAGGCTCAAATCAGCAGCCAGAAATGGGAATTTGGTGTGAAAGCTCTCTGGGGATAAATGGATGAGGTCAGCCAGACAGGAATACTTGAAATGCAGAACCACTCCCTGAGTGACCTGAAATACCTGTTCTGAGGTGGCACAGAAGCACAGCCCAGCACGGGCAGAAGGACAGAAAATACCTCTGTCATCCCTGTCATCTCCAGGCACAAACACCACCAAGAAGCTCCTCACATCCAGCACATCATCCCAGTTCTGCACAGCTGAAATTCCCTCTCTGATGTTTCCCTGTAATTTGAAGCAGGTTGTTTCCAAAGCAGTGAGTGTGCTGGAAAGGAAAACTCACATTTAGCATGGCTAAATACACGTTTGGAGGGTTTTTTTTTGTAATTCTTGGAATGGGAAGGTTGCGTGGTAACTATTTTCTCAGTTGCCCAACACCTCTCCAGGCCACTGCACATCATTTAAAATAAACAAAATGATTCTCTCAAGGCCACAGGGACCCAGCACAGAGCTCACAAATTGTGGCAGTGGGTCTGTGCAGGAGCTCAGCTTTGCCCATTTCAAACCCTCCTCTCTCATTATCTGTGTGAAACACACTGTCCCTGCCCCGTGGGCCAGCTGTGGGCACACAAACGGAGCAGGTGACACCCAAGCCTGGCTGTTGTAGATATTTTAGACCATAATTTCCTTCCTTCTCAAAGGCATCATACACATATGTGAGGCAGGCTAATTAATTTACCTTGTATCACCCTGTTGAGGAATTAGGGACCTTCTTATTACACCTTGATTATGTCTGCAATTATCTGACATCTAATGATGCTTCCAGCACCTTTCCACTGCTTCTCTTCTCTTTTTCTTCTCTTTCTTCCTGTCTCTGCTTCTCGTTTTTGGGAATTCAAGCAGCACAAAGATTGTCAAAGGATAAAAATTGCAGGTACAGGTAAAGGTCAGTTCAGAGGAGGCCACCAAATTGATTATAGGGCTGGAACTCCTCTGCTATGAGGAAAGGCTGAGAGAATTGGGATGGTTGAGCCTGGAAAAGAGATTTCAGGGCGACCTAATTGTGGCCTTGCAGGACCTGATGGGAGCCCCCAGGAAAGATGGAGAGAGACTGTTCACACAGGAGTGACGGGCCAAGGGGGAATGGCTCCAACCCGACAGAGAGCAGGCTTAGATTGGAGATTAATAAGAAATTTTACCCTGTGAGGGTGGCGAGGCTTGGGCACAGGTTGCCCAGAGAAGCTGCGAAGTGGCTGGAAGTGTTTGAGGATGGGGCTTGGAGCAAGCTGGGGTAGCGAGAGATGTCCCAGCACAAAATCAGCTTTAAGGCCCCTTCAAACCCGAACCATTCAGCGAGTCTACAATCCCTCGGCTTTTTAAACAGCCTGGTGGTG